TATTACTCCGATAAATACTACTTATCCCCGATATATCCCCAATTTTTGCTATCCGATAGGATTTTGACCGTTCGATAAATCCCCAATAACCGACATTTAAAACCTTGGACCTAAGTTCTAAGCAATGTTGAAATATATGATAATGTATAACTTAAGGTCTCTTGATGGCTTAGAGCATAATGCATGATATGTAGTTTACATATTTTCTCATTATTTAATTTAATAATGTAAAAGATGTTCCTTGTAAAAATTAGGAAAAGAATATCAAAATACAAAAAAATAATTTAACAAAATTTTTTTAAATCTAACAAACGATGCACATTTACCCACAAGTATCACAATAGAATATTCAAATATATAACCGCAATTTACATGTTATTTATAATTTTACATTCATTTTATTAGACACGTTCATAATTTCACAATTACATATAATGATGTCATAACTTGACAGACAATTCGAATGTAATTACTTAATTACGTCAGATTTTAAGAAAGAAAATACTCATGCTTCTATGGTAACTTGGATTGAAATTATGTAAGTTATATTTAAAAAAACAATTGTTAAATTGAAGCAATCGTATGTTACATTAAAGTAATACATGTTACTCTGTAATGACGTAGAGTTATGATGTTCTGAGTTATTTTAAAAAGGTAACATAATGTTTAAGTTGTGTTAGATTACATAATGCAAAATAACGAGTAATGTAATGCGTTCTTTTTTAACAGTGGTTCAACCGCTGGTTATTTTCTGACTACTTAGTCTTGCTCTTCTCTGTAATGGTTACTTTTGTTCCTTCACATTATGTTAGAATGTATGAGGTTTTGCCAACACCATCAGCTTGCTTTTTTGTTCTCGTTTGAGAAGGAAAATTTTAGCTAGTGATCCCAGTAAAGTTTAGTTTAAGGAGTTTCGGCAGTTGGTGGCTCTACTAGTTGTTATCATATAACAGCTTGCTTCTTTTGTCGTTGTCATTGGTTTTCTTCCCAGAAGCCAACTTTTCATGATAAAAGGCTAGTTATCATATAAGAGTTCCCCATTTTTGGCAAAAAGAGGAGTGATTCAAATCTATCGATTCATTGAATTCTAATTCAGTAGACTTGAGTCTTGAGAGCTACACAATGCTCTGTGCTAGTGACTAAAGCAAAAGATCTTTGTAATTAATTGGTACGCATATTAAGATTCCTACTTAGTGTAATTTATATTGCTATTCTGATCATCCTCTTTTGGTTACAGGAAATGTCTAAAGGTCTATTAGCAGTCATTCGGTTAATTTTAATGGTATGTTTGTATCATCACACTGGCAATAATATTCCTTTTGAGAAACTAATAAAGCTTCTGAGAATCTCTTTTTCTTTGTATAACATGATTGATAAATTTGTTATTTTCCCCCTTTTTAAGTTTTGTTTTACGGTTACCTCCTTCGTTAAGTTAACCATTACTGTACTTAATTGCGTCAAACCAAGTACTTTTACATCTACTTCTAGTTCTTTTTGCTTTATTAATTACAATCTTACCATCTCTCCTGATTGGTGCATTTTGTGGTTTCCATTGCACTCGACTAAGCCATCTCAATTGAATTCTTTCTATTTGCGCTTGACTAAGCCATCTCAATTGAATTCTTTCTCATTTTATTCTAAATAGGAGCAACATCTAATGTTTTATAATGCACTCATTTATGCTGCACTCATTCACATGTTGCATCTCAATTGTCCGATATTCTCATCGATAAAGTATTTTTGCTCTTATAATTGTCATGAAAGTAAACTTGTTATGAAGGATTGTAGTTGCTATTTATGGTTTGGAATATGTTAAGTTGCTATGGTTTAGTTACATGCATTTGCGATGAGCAACTTCTTACTTCAATGTCTCAATTTGTCAGTCAAGCAAGCGAGTACTTAGTATTGAGGATATTACCTTGGGTTGAAAGCATATTTGAATGATAACATGAGTTGATGCACTAGTTTATATCAGATGTTGTAAGTCTAGAAGAAGGTCTTGGCTTCAGAAGTAATGTATCCATCTAGTCTTTTTCCCCAACTTAAAGATTATTTTCCTCAAAATCCCAAAAAGAAAAAGATGGCGTTTTGGTGCCACTTCTGGACTTAATGGATAGTAAGCTGTTTATTAAATAATATAATTACCAGAACATCATATTGTTTAACATTGGCTGTTAACTGAAAAAATATCCCATATTTGTGGTTTGTGAGATGTATTGGGCCTTGGCCCTTGTATATATATAACTCGAGATATCAGGAATGAGCATGAGCCCATTTATATACTTTAAATATTCTCCGTCCAATTCCTCTTTATAAATTTTATATTTGTTGATTTAATTTAAGTGAATATGCATAAAATATTGTGCACTAACCACAGAGTTACCGTGGAACGACTTCCGTAAAACTATGAAAAATAATCATGACCCAGAACATGTCCAATCAAGATGGGTACATCGTCTAGTTAATGCTACAATAGTAATAACCAAGGAAAACCTCACATCGGGATATCAATATTGAGGGCATAGTCATGCTATGAAAGCATGCTTATAAATCACATTTTAAATAGGAGTCGTCTTCATGCACAGTCTCTCTTATTGCTTAACAACCTAGGTGATCAAGCAATAATTTTCTATAAAATCATGCGTGTCAAACACAGTAAAGTATAAAGAAAAGATGAAATCTAACTTAAATGTGACTAAAAGAAATGCTACTCGTAGATATTGTGAATAAATTTATTACACTTAAATGTGACTAAAAGAAATGCTACTCGTAGATATTGTGAATAAATTTATTACAAAGCTTATAAGCACATTATTCTTATTTTAGAGTCACACCCCCACTAACTATATGCTACTTATCATAACTGGAAATAAACTAAATAATTAAATAACAAAATCAATGTGTAGTCATTTTAGACTCAAAATAGAAATTAATTATTTAATTATTTATTTACTAGTGATGGAAAGCCATATAGTTTTATAAATATTTTTTACTCTATTTTCACACTTAATATTTTAATAAAAATGAGGACCAAATCCTTGCATATATGAAAAATATATATATCAGATGATATCTTCAAATGATTTGTAGACTATAAATAATTATTATATCAAATATAATAAAACAATTTAGTTATTTTAGTTTCTACAAACAAATCATTTATTGGTGGTTTGAACTGTAATTATAGAATCTACAGGGTTTTTCTGAAAAAAATAAAAAATTATAAAATTGTATTATGTATTTTTCTGCAATTCTGAAACTATGTGGACTTTACTATAAAGTATAAAAATTGAACCTAGTTTCTAAAATTCATAATTTGCAAGGAGCTATATGAACAAGCACTACTGACATAAATTGAAATGTGTCTTACATAATACATAACCCGAGAGTCGAGACTAAGGAATCACATACATTGAAGAGGCCATGGCAACAATTTATTACAATTATATACTGAATTGTTTCTGGGGTCAGGTTCGAACCCGATTAGAATCAATATTTCACCTCTTTCTCAAGCTCCGTCTCTCTCGCTCTCTCTCAAACTCCCGCTCTCGTCGCCCTTTTCTCCCTCTGCCTTCTCCTCCAAACCCTAGAACCCAATGTCGCGGGAAAGGAGAAGGTCGTCGGAGATCTGGGGTCTCAGTCTACGCCGACGACGGACGAGGCATCGACGAGCGGATATCGGGCGAGCAGGTCGCCATTGTCGACGCCGAGGAGATCGCCGTTTCCAAGATTGCATCCGTGGCCAGCGAGATCGCCTCAGGTATACTCTTCAAATGCTTCTGTTACTCGATTTAATTTTCTTCTTCGTTTGGCATAACGAACAAGAAAATTAAATCCAGTAACAGAAGCATTTGAAGAGTATACCTGAGGCGATCTCGCTGGCCACGGATGCAATCTTGGAAACGGCGATCTCCTCGGCGTCGACAATGGCGATCTACTCGCCCGGTATTTGCTCGTCGATGCCTCGTCCGTCGTCGGCGTAGATTGCGACTCCAGATCTCCGACGACCTTCTCCTTTCCCGACGACATTGGGTTCTAGGGTTTGGAGGAGAAGACAGAGGGAGAAAAGGGCGACAAGAGCGGAAGTTTGAGAGAGAGAGAGAGACGGAGCGAGAGAAAGAGGTGAAATATTGATTCCAATCGGGTTCGAACCCGACCCCAGAAACAAGTCAGTATATAATTGTAATAAATTGTTACCATGGCCTCTTCAATGCATGTGATTCATTAGTCTCGACTCTCGGGTAGTGTATTATGTAAGACACATTTCAATTTAACCACCGATAAATGATTTGTCTGTAAAAACTAAAATAACTAAATTATTTTATTATTATAGTCTACAAATCATTTAAAGATATCATCTGATATATATTTTCTATATATGCAAGGATTTGGTCCTCCCTCATTTTTATTAAAATATTAAGTGTGCAAAATGGAGTAGAAAGTATTTGTGAAACTATATGGCTTTCCATCACTAGTAAATAAATAATTAATTTCTATTTTGAGTCTAAAATGACTACACATTGATTTTGCTAGTTAAATTGAAACAATCGTATGTTACATTAAAGTAATACATGTTACTCTGTAATGATGTAGAGTTATGATGTTCTGAGTTATTTTAAAAAGGTAACATAATGTTTAAGGTGTGTTAGATTACATAATGCGAAATAACGAGTAATGTAATGCGTTCTTTTTTAACAGTGGTTTAACCGCTGGTTATTTTCTGACTACTTAGTCTTGCTCTTCTCTGTAATGGTTACTTTTGTTCCTTCACATTATGTTCTGTCATTCATCATATAGCCGCAAAAGCCATTCTCATGGTTCTTTTCTTAATTCTGCAATTATGTTATATCATTAAAATCTTTGAGTTGGATTAAATCTAATTATGGGCACTTATGTTAAATTATTGTGTAATGCTATCTTTAAAGTTAGCCCGCATAAAGTGATCAATCATTTAATTGGGTTAATGGGTATTTAGTTTATTATGGGCTAATTGTGTTAGCCCGCATAAAGTGATCAATCATTTAATTGGGTTAATGGGTATTTAGTTTATTATGGGCTAATTGTGTAGATACCAGATTGCAATTCTAATTTTATGAGGGGCTAAATTAAAAAAATTATAATATCTATATAAAGGGGTTATGTTCCCTAATTTAAGGGTTACATTCTTTGTTTTCTTAATCCCCATCTAGAGAGAAACAACATGAGAGACCCTTTAGATTAGAAGATCTCAAACCCTAATTCAGAATTTCTTCATGGATTTCAGGTATGCTTTCATTTATTCTTCTTGTTAATCTCCTCTTTGAATTAATCATGATCCTTAATTATATTTTTAGGGTTTGTTCTTGATTTTCGTTGTAAACCCTAGATCTATATTGTATGAATTAAAGAGTTTATAGAACAACAAGTGGTATCAGAGCAACCGTGATTAATTCTTAGGGATTTATGTTTGAGTTGAAGAAATTAGGGTTTTCATCTTAATTTTTTCTTAAGATCAGTTGCACGTATCAACATTGTAGCGTGCATGTTTAATCAATCTTACTTTGTTCAATCTAGATCAAACTCTTGATTCAAATGTTATATCTATTAATTCATTTCAATTTTGGTATATGAGGTCGTAGTTATGCAATTGGGTGTGCTTGCTTGTTTTTGTTTCGAATTTAAAGATTGTGCTGGGTTTGTGCATTTGTTTTTGTTTCTTTTGTTCGAGAGGATTTTTTAGGCTCTTTGGCTATTTTGAATTAGCAGTGTGAATTAAAGTGTCTGTGTTATTAATTAAAGCTGAGGTTGATGCAAAATTTGGTTTCATCATGTGCTTTGCTAATGGGATCATGTTATGCTTGTCTCCGCCATCTTAAGAGTGGTTTATGCATGAATGTAGATGGAACTAAGGAGGATACATAGTTTGAAGATGAAATGTAGTTTGTTAAAGAGGCTTGTCAGGTTCTTTTGAATTGCATGGAACCTGGTTTGTTCCGGTTCACAGGACGTGTACGGGAACATGGTACACCACTCAACAGGAATCAGGTACGAGGGGGTAGGCTTACATTGTACACCAGGAAACATGGTATGCTTTAGGTTTGGTTCTTAAATGCTAGTTGATATCAGAAATGGTAATAGAACCTTGAGAATCAAGTTGCAATTAAGATGTGCATAATTTATATGCTTAATTTCCTACGTTTTTGTTGTTTATTCTTTTAAAAAGAGCTTTTTCCCCGACATTTTAATTGGTTTTTGAATTCTAAATCTGGTCACTGGAGTTGTTGAATCGGGTCGTGTTCCACGCGAATCTAGGATGATTGAAGCCGGGTCGTAGTTCGCTATAGTGTACCATGTTCCCGACTTCTTATTGAATCCATTATTTGAAGGTCTCATGCATGCTACTGGGTTTTTCTTAGTTTTCTAAATAGGCAGGTAATACGGTGGATCAGATCTCTCTGTCAGTTGTATGTGTGTCACTGCTTAATCCTTCATCTCCGTTTCCTGGAGGATGTGATGAGGGATTTTCCTGTGGGAACGCTTCATGGGAATTTGGCAATGTGAGTATTTAAACTCTTTTGCTACAGTAATTGTTTTATTTCTCTTTTAACCCTTTTATTGTTGCTTTGTGGAGATCCTTTCTTGATCCATAAGGGCCATCTTTAGTATGCCCAATGTAGTGTCGGTATAGGGGGATGCCATATCTTGTTGTTTCATTTTCGAGGTTGATCATACTTTTTTTCCCCATATGTTTTTATTAATATGCATTCTCTGATCAATTTTACAGCAACTTATTGTGTGAGACAATAACAGGTGATTCAAATGTAGATTTAATAAATTGCGCTAGCCAGTGAGATTCCTTGTATCCATGGATAGGAAAGTCCAAAATTGAGGCAATGCACATATCTTTTTCCTACATAATGCCAAAATGGATCTTGAAAATAGATTGCAGATTTCCATATTTACTTAATTGTTACTCTGTGGCTGCAAATATCTGTCTTTTGAAGATTAGAATATTCTAATATTAGCATATGTAGTATGAAATCAAGTTAGTTTTGTCTTAGAGAATGTCGTAATTACGTTGGAGACCTTTTGTATTCTGTTTGGCATACTGGGCTTTGCAAGGAATAGTTGTTTTCTGCATACTGTGGCTATAATTGAACTTCCTTTATGGACAATTTTTTTTATCCAGCATATTTCCGATTATTCCATACAGCATATAATGAAAATTGAGGTTCTTTTTTATGCTTACCCAGACATTTGGTTTAATTTCAGGGCTTACGGAGGAGAAGAATGCTGCAATCCGACCAAACAATGAACCCCGATGACAACTTTTGAGTACAACTCTTGCGTGAATCATTTTCCTATTGTTGTTCAACAGTAGCTGATCAGAGATTCAGAAGTATTCTTAAATATGTCATGATTTAGTTCTTTTGAATATCCATGCCCTTAAGCCACTAGCTTCGTCTCTGTGCGTGCTTTTTCTCAGCGAAAAACGGCTTTTGCTGTTTAGCACCTGTTGGTTAAACTTTTAGCCTCAATTCCATTTTAACATCGACACTGAGAAAAATCACCATGAGGTCGAACCTTTCTCCCAACTTTATCAACTTATGCATTAGCTTTACTGTTTATTTTATATTATTACGTAGTAGGGGAATTTTTGTAATTGTTATATTTTTGTGTAAAACCTTGATTTCATCATTATTTTATTGGGGAAAACAAATTAATGTTTATAGCTTTTATATTCGAACATATGCTCTTAATAATAACGACTTTTATATATTGCTGGTAACTAGAGCAGCAATATATTACGAGAGAAATGTGGGCCTGTGATGAGCCATGGGTGAAATGCTACGCCGTGTACGTCTACAATTTATAAAAGTTTATCAACAAAAAAATAATGAAGAAAGTCATTTTGAGTATGTTCCATGTGATTTGCACTTATTTTTATTCTTTCAACTCAAGATTAATCACAATTATTAACACAATTATTAAATAGATAATTAGCAGTTGTGACAACAATGAATCACCATTCCTCACTATATTATACAACAAGGAGGATTCTTATTTGTACTGCATAATTTAGCATAGATGAAAATGTTTTATTTTCCAATGATAAATATATTTTTTGAGAAATTTCAAAGTTACTTTTTAAAAAAATGGAATTTCAAAGATAGATAGTTGGAGAGACATTTTTCGTTGAGATGCCTAATATTGAGTTCTCCTAAAGCCCTACATCATCCCCCAATTGAAAGTGTCAAATAAATCTGTAACACGTTTTTTTATTGTTTCTGCGTTATAAATAAAAGACAACAAATTATTATTAGATGTTGCACCTTCCGGCCCAAAAATTGGACCTTTGTAAATGTTTTCGGCCCAAAAAGAATAAACTTCTGCTCTGAAAAAGAATTGATACTACGACATAATTGTTACCTGTAATGTACATATGCTAGTACCACATGCTTTGGGTTACTATTACCACCCTAATTTGCAACAAATTATGAGAACTGGGGGTGGGGGCTGGATGATTTGATCGACTAATTTTAAATTATGAAAATATTAGGGACGAATATAAAAAAACCAATTTTTTTTTGAAAGACTCTTTGAATATGATTTGATCGACTAAATTTAAGATATGAAAATGTAAGGGACGAATATAAAAAGTAAGAGACGAATATAAAAAAAACAATTCTCTTTGAA